GTGAGGAAGGAGAAAGTTTCTATGGCCGCTATGGTGCTGGCCCTTTTGTTGTTGCTGACATGCTTCATGGTCTTTAGAGATACCAGCATCCCCTTAATCTAAAACTAAGAGGATTAAGGGGGTTACAGTCTACTTGGGGAAGGAGCCATTTATTTTTTTACTACCTCTTTTCTTTCCTACCCTTTTTTCCTCTCTTCATTTCTTGTCTTCCTTTTTTTGGGAGTGCCAGTAATCTCAGTGTGCTTTCTCTAGAGCAAAGGGTCAAACTCTTAGACTGCAAAATTTGAGAACCAGATTAAAATGTAATTGGGAAATATTTTAACAAAATAAATAAAAATACAATACAACATAATTTGTGATTTTTCTGAGTTAATATGAGATGCAGGTCTATTTGAATTTGACACAATTGCTATTAACCTTTTCTATTTTATGAAAATATGACAGTCTAGTGAATGAAGCCTATTCACTCCTTCTCAGAATGTTTTTAATGCATAAAATACATAAAATTACAAAGGAAATCGGGTCTATGGAAATATAATTATAAAAAAAAAATTTAAGTTCACGGACCCCAGGTTCAGAACCACTCATCTTTAGGTGAAGAAAGTATGAATGGGAGTTACTAACTACTGCAGCTAGGTGGCACAGTGGATAGAGTTCTGGGCCTGGAGTCAGAAAACCTTATCTTCTTGAGTTCAAATATGACCTCAGACACTTACTATGTGACCCTGAGCAGGTCACTTAACCCTGTTTGCCTCAGTTTCCTCATCTATAAAATGAGCTGGAGAAGTAAATGGAAAAAAAAAAAAGATTTCCAGGATCTTTGCTAAGATAATCCCAAATGGGGTCACAAAGAGTTGGACATTATTCGGCAACAACTGACCATGTTGGTGTTGTCCCCTACCATTTATTTCCATCAGATTGTTTTCACTTCAGGAGGTTCACAGAGCACTAATGGACAGGCATTTGTTGAATAAAACAATATACCATGTCAGAAAATGTCTTCCTATTCTAAGGCAGCATATTGGAGCATCCAGGTTGGCCTGTAAGATAAATCATGCCATATCTAGCATTGCTATTCAGTCAACATATAATTTTCAAGTCCTTCATTAAAGGGAAAGGAGACACTGGTCTCAGTCTTAATTGTCTTTTATTTAGTATCCACAAAGTTAGATGTTTCAAGAGATATAAAGTTTACCCAGTATTGTCAGTCTATCAGGCTAATAACACACAGATAGCTGTGTGCACAATATTAGTAATAAGGGCATCAAAAGATGTAAATTAGGGTAGAGCCAAGATGGTGGAGTAGGAGCAGTAATCTAGCCAAATTCACCTAACATTCCTCTTCAAACAAGTCAAATAAATCAAATTCTGGAGTGGCATAGCCATCAAAAGCTTGGGGTGAAAAAAGCATTTTTTTCAGCCAAAGACAACTTGGGAAGTCAGGAAAAAGGGTCTGTGACAACTATGGTAGGGGATGGCTTGGAGTACAGGTGGCAGCAAGACCAGTGATTGGCCTTGGAAGTGGCTGCAATAGCAGCAGTAGCAGCTTTGAGAGCTCTCAGCCCAGATTGAACGACTGGTCAGAACAGGAGATAGTAGCTGCAGGACCAGGCATTGTTTGACAACTCCATTGAAGTTCTCAGTTGAGATTCCAGGACAAAGAGGAACACTAGTGCTTGCAGCTGCAAAGGACGTGGTCATAGTTGAAGGGTAGAGAGGAACACCAGAGCATAGACTAGGAGGCAGTGGCTATACTTTTCCCTGGATAACACCACCTTGGAAGCACCAAAAACTTAATAGATCCCCCAGAATCAGCTCTGACAACACCACCCAAAAAAAGCCTGAAGCTTTGGATAATGCCTTCTCACCCCTACTTGAATAGATCCCAACTTGGATATAAAGTTCAAGGACAAACAATAGGCTGGAGAAATGAGCAACCAACCAAAAAAAAAAGAAAAAAAAGAACCTGACCATAAAAAGCTACTCTAGTGACAGGGAAGATCAGGATATAAATACAGAAAAAGATAACTGTAAAAACAGCTTGCAAGCAAAGCCTCAAAGGGGAAAAAAAATGCAAGTAGGACACAAGCTCAGCCAGAATTCCTGGAAGAGCTGAAGAGATACGATTAGTAGAGGAAAAACTGAGAAAAGATATGAGTAATATGAGAGAATTGACAGTTTGGTAAAAGAGGCCTACAAAATATTGAAGAAAATAACTCCTTAAAAAAAAAATTGACCAAACGGTAAAAGACACAAAAATTCGCTTCAGAAAAGAACTTTAAAAGTAGAATTGGCCAAATTGGAAAAAGAGGTACAGAAAGCCACAGAATTACTAAAAAATTAGAATTGGGCAAGTGGAAGCTAGTGACTCATTGAGACATCAAGAAACAAAGTCAAAATAATGAAAAAATTGAAGATAATGTGAAATACCTCATTAGAAAAATAACTGACCAGGAAAATAGAAAATTTAGGAATTATTGGACTACTTGAAAGCCATGATCAAGAAAAGAGCCTAGGTATCATATTTCAAGAAATTACAAAGGAAAATTGCCCTGATAACTTACAATCAAAGGGTAAAATAGAAATTGAAAGAATCCAACTATCACCTCCTAAAAGAGAACCCCAAATGAAAACTCCCAGGATTATAATAGCCAAATTACGGCATTCCCAAGCCAAGGAGAAAATATTGCAAACAACCAGAAAGAAGCCATTCAAGTATTGGGAGCCACCATCAAGATCACAGACAAATCAAAAGCATAAACAGACCTAATTTGAAAGAGATAATAAAGGAAACTACATTTTGCTAAAAGACACTATAGACAATGAAATAATATCAATATATATGCACCAAATGGCATAACATCCAAATTATTAAAAGAAAAGTTAAGTCAGTTATGGAAGGAAATAGACAATAAAGTTATACTAGTGAGAGACCTCAACTTTCTCCTCTCAGAACTAGATAAGTCTAGGCATAAACAAATTAAGGAGATGAATAGAATTTTAGAAGAGTATATATGATAGCTGGAGAAAATTGAATGGAACTAGAAAGGAGTATACCCTTTTTTCAGTTGTATGTGGTACCTTTACAGAAACTGGCCATGTATTAGAGCATAAGAACCACAAACAAATGCAGAAATATTAAATGTACCCTTTTCAGATCATAATACAATAAAAAGCTGTAATGCAAGTGTTATGTGAATTCCATTCATGAAAGAAAAATCATTATATTAGGTAATTAGTTATATTATCTCATCTTCTCTTTTCTGACATCTTACAAGAGCCTATGTACCATATGTCATGCTTTTTCTGATAAGGGAATTTCTGATAAGAAAGTATGTTATCTCAAGATAATCTTTTTTATTATAGATTTATTGTATATTCTACCAGCAAAGAGTTTATAAAGTAGATGGTGCCATTCAGTCTATTTTCTTGTTGCCAAAGGGAGTAACAAAGGGAGTGTTTGGTAATGCTTATGAAAAATAGCTAATTTATATTACTTTACCTGATTTAATCAGTGCCAAGCCTTGTCATCTTTACTTCTACAACGTTTCTCACATTTCCTTCTCTCTACTCACATGACCGCCGCTTTAGTTCAGACCCTCACCATCTTTTCCAGGACTGTTGAATTAACTTCCTAATTGGTCTCCATGCCTCAGTTCTCTCCCCACTCCAGTCCATCCTCCACATAGTTTATTTTCCTGCATTGCAGATCTGACCATTAATTAACATCAGTGGATCCCCTTAGGATAAATCTATAAACACCTTTTTGCTTTTAAAGCCTTTTTGGTTTGGCTCTACTCCACCTTTCCAACCTTGTTAATACCATTACTTCCCTTTCCACACTGTGGTTGAGCTATATTGGCTGCTTTGATATTCCTCACATATGATACTCCTATTTCCTTGCCTTTGCACTAACTATCTCTGATGACTGGAATGTACTGTCTCTTTCCTTTTTACTCTTTATAATCCCCTAGTTTTCATTAAAACCCAGTTTGAACACCACCTTCTACATGAGGAATTCCCCCAAATGCTAATGCTGCTCCCTCCAATTACTTTGTATTTATTTTTTGTATGCAGTAGGGCCCTGGAGATGACTGCTTGCTGATGACAAGTGGTGCTGAAATATTAAAAGTGTTAAGTAACTGTTTTGAATCTTATTATTCAGAAACAGTTCCGTTGACATTTGCATTGAAGGTCCAAAAGCAATGTTGGGTAAAACTGCTGGCACTAAACTATCCTAGTAGTCATTGTATTCACTGCCACTTACTAATAGTAAAAGAACAAACAAAAAATGCCAGTTTAGTTAAGATAGTCCATCCTTGATGAATCAATAAAAATTGTTAATTTTATTAAATATCCACCCCTGAGCACATAAGCTTTTTTTTTTAAGCTTTTAATATTCTTTATGATGACCTGGGCCTGAGTTTTCTCATCTATGAAATGAGAGATAGACTAAATGGACTTTGAGCTTCTTCCAGCTCTAGATCTATGATCCTGTATTAGCCATCATTTCTAACCCTTTAAAGTTTACAAAGTGCTTCATATAAATGATCTTATTTGATCCTCACAGTAACTTTCTGAGGTAGATGCTGTTATTATCACCTTTTACAGATGAGGAATCTCAAGTTGGGAGAGGTTAAGAGATTTGCCCAGGGTCACACAGCTAAATATCTTAAGTAAAAATTAAACTAAGGTGTTCCTAACTCTAAGTTCATCCCCATTGCCACCCATCTGTGTAAAAGTTTTCCCATCTCTCTTTGAATTCTGCATATTGGTTTTTGTTTTTTGTTTTTGCATTAGAATGATAATCCATTGCTTCTATATATCACAAGTGATTCAGCTAATTCTCAATTGATGGGCACCCATTTTGTTTCTAATTTTAAAAACTTTGCTTTTTTTTTATAGGAAGTCAGGCATTTAAAAAATTGTTTATTCTTTGGTTTTATTTGAAAAAAATAAAATGCCTTGTTTCTCATCTTTACATTTGTCCACTTTCATAGGATTCTCTCTAAGTAGTTCTTGGAGGAGAGCTAATTCTAGTCAAGGACAGTCTGAACCGACCAGGCAAGCACTTAAGAAGCCCAAGTTACCACAAGGACGGTTTGATGCTCCAGAAGATTCCAATTTAGAACAAGAGCCACTAGAAAGTGAGTATAGTAAAAATTTATACATATGCACATATATATGCACATACATAATAAAAATTTACAGTTTTTGAGAGGTGGTGTGGTATAGCAAATAGATAGGCAGCCTCTGTCACATACTAGTTGTGTGACCCTGGACACAATCTTTTAGTGCCCCAGGTGCAGTAGAATACCAGGTGTAAGTTGGGGGGCAGGTTGTGATCTGCATTATTAAAGAGAGCTTTCTCACCAAGAGTTCTCCATAGCAATAAAATCAGAAGTACAATCCAAAAAAAAATTTTTGGCTCATTGAAAGAATTATTTCAAAGGTGAGCATAAGTTGAAGGCAGTTGTCAAATCAATATATTGATTGTCAAACTTTATTAAAGTAATATAGGATTTTGTAAGTACAAAATCATAACCCTCTTTATTCTGGACCACCAGCAAGCCTTCTCAAGTAGTAGATAATTACTTTTTCCTTATTATTAACTCATACATCAATCTAGCAAGCAACTCCAAAGATATTAATAAACTAGTTATTAAGATCTTATATACATAGTTACCTGATGATGAAAAGACTATAAAGGGAGTAAGATGTCTTTAAACAAACTTTTGTTTCTTTGGCAGTTTATACAGGAACCAGTCTACCTTTTCATGAAGGTGTTTACAACAGGGATAATAACCAGATATTTCTTGAGTATGAATCACTTCAGTGTAATAGTAACAGCATAAAAAATTGAGTAGGTTTGAAGGAGAGTTGAAAATTGTGGTAAAATACATCATCATCAAAATGAAGTTTACATTGCTTTGTGACAGAGTTCTTAGAACAACAAATAAGTTTTCCAAACTCCAGTGTTGGTTTATCTGTCTCAACACAAAGGCAGCATTCTGTTAACACAAATAATTCTGTAGCTTTAAATCAAAATTTCTTGGTCTGAATTCTGATAGGCAATTTCTTTATACTGTGCCCGATAAAAAGGTGCTGATCATGATATAAGTGCCTCCCTCTGGTGCTCTGTCAGTTTTGTAATTTTGTTTTAGTTTTTAATTTGTTTATTTTAGGAATATAGACCCACAAATTTTCAGTCTGTTAAGCAGATCAGTCACTGTAAGTAAACTTTGGAAGAATAATTATTAAAAATACACAAGTAAGACTGTCTCTTATGACTTTTACCACACTTGTGTCAGTAACTCAAGTTATTTGCAGGTGACAACATAGAAATGTTCTAGGATTCCAGAATGCCAGTGACTTGTAGGACCAAATACTCATTCATTTCATACTATAAAGGTACACTAACCAGGAAATGATAGTTCCAGCTCTCACCATAAAGGATGAGAGCTTCAGGACATAGGTATTTGTTAGGGGAGGGAAGCTACACACAACTGGAAGTTGTTCTTATTAGCTGCTTCCCCCTCTGGAGGTATTTTGTCTGGGACTACATATGTCAGCTTCAATTAGGAAGTCCTCTGACACTTGGTTATCTGAATTTGCTGAGAGAATTTATTGCAAAGCAGTAACAGTGTGTTTTGGAGAATTCTCTCCTACAGTGTTACCTTGTAGGGGATCTATCCCTTGTTATCCTCATAGGTGAATTTGTGTCTTTTCTGGGTCAGCCCTTTCAGAGCACCTGTGCTTGCCTGTGCTGTGTTGCCAAAGAGAATTTTTGGTAGCCTGGATATGGTGTAAAGGAACTAAAAAACTCGCAAACTTCTCATATTTTGGAGGATAACAGCTGATGATTTCTAGCTTTCCTTTCATTTAAAGTATTTCCCAGAGACTCTCACATCCCAATTATCAAAGGCCAAAACTCAGTCAAGGAGTTATCTCAACTAAAGGGTATTTTCCCCCAAAATATGATACAGATAGGGAATAGCAAAATTCAAGAGTCAAGTCAGTTAATGAGCACATATTTGTCGCATATAACCAAATAATTATTTTCAAAAATATTACCACTATTATTCTCAGAGCTGAGAAAAGGTATGAAAGAATATAAAACATAGTGTTGAGGAGTTTGTAGTCTATTGAGGGAGAGGAAAGCACGCACCTACATGTGCAGCACCAGATTCATTAACTTCTCCCACAGAGACTAGATACTGTATCTTTAAGAGGTAATGGAATCTTGGACATTTATACTTTAACTGGCATTATATGAAGAGTCTCTAAGGAGAGAGAACTGTTAGCATAGTTCCTATCACATAGAAAACACTATATAAATGCTAGTTATTAACTATTATTATTAGAGAACTGATGTATAACTCTTCTTGCAAAGAAACATGAAGAGAATTCTTGAGAAGAAAGCTTAATTACTATCCAGAGAGAAGTAATGATGGGACTCTGTGTTTCCACAACTGAGAAATCAGCAAGTGTAGCGATGATGGCTCTGACTGTGATCTTCCTCACAGCTGATACATTGTAAATAATTATTTAGGTTTGTTTTGTTGTTGTACTCTTAATAAATTGTATCACCAGTAACCTTGGTGTTTAAGCCTAAAAGACTTTAGAGTGTTTGATAAATAATACAGGGATCGTGGAGGTTAGAGCTAGTTGATTGAGAAAATGTTGCAATTTTAGGGATTTAATGGGAACTATCAAAATATACCCTTTGTTTTCATTAGAACCCAAAATGAGAAATTAAATAAGAAAATGAGCTAGCAACTGGTAGAGCGAGGGATGATCATACCATATAAGCTACATAAAAATGAGTTCTACCATAAATCATGATAACACATAGGACATTACAGGTGCAGCAGTTTCAAATCATGAGGTTCAAAGTGTGGCTGTGCCAGTAGAAGGCTAAGCACATAAGCATGAGGCAGTTAAGTTCAGAGAAGTCAGAAGCATTTCAAAAGCAAAGTAGAACATTCCTTCCAGCTTTAAAATGATATGATTCCGTGATTAGGAAATGGAAAACCTAGAGGAAGTTCTAAAAATAGTTGAGTATTTAGAAGATACCTGTTACTTTGTTATGATATACATATGTAAATTGAGTTCCTTCAGGATCCCTTAGCTAACATAATGTAGTAACCAAACTAGGCTGAATCATTTATCTCCCTCTTAAAAAAAAAAAGTTGCAGGAAACATTTTCAAAAGTTCTTTGGAAATGGCAGGCAAATTATAGAACTCTTAGATAACCTAATTTATACACAAAATAATAAGATGTTAAGTTCCCTACCCTCCTTTCCACAAATATGTAGTCTTTAATTAGTATGTCTAAGATTCCTTCATTTGTTGCTCACTCCCGGAAAATGGTGAGGCAATGTGGTATTGCAGAGATGAATAAAACACTGCTTCTGCTGTCTAGGAGTTTTTGTCCTAATAGGGGAGATAAGAGATACTCAATTTCAAGAAGTGTTTATATTGATACAGTGATTTCAGGTCTCCAAATGTTTTATATAGCTTTGATCCTCAGGACAACCCTATGAGTTCGTAAGCATACAGTCCCCGTTTTACAAATGAAACAACTGAGGCTTAGAGACATAGAATGACTTGTTCAGGGTCATAAGACTAGTAAGTCATAGAACTGGGATTTGAACCCAGATCTTTTAACTTCCTCTCCCTACTATAGGGAAGAATATTTTTTTTCTCAGGCAACACAGTGTGTGAAAAATTCCTTAAGAAAAGTATGAACAAACTTCCCATTGGATAGGAAGAAAGGAATTAGAGTTCTAGAAAGGATATTTTTTAAATAGCTGATGATGTATAGGGAGACATAGCCAGGTGGGTTATAATAGACTAGATGAAATTAGAAGTATTAAGGGACCAGCAGAGAGATAGATTAGAGCAAACATAGGTTGAATAAGGGTTGGGGAAAAGTAGATGGTGGATGCTAACAAGTTTTGGAAAAACTAGTGTAAACTGATGAACATGGATTTCAGAAGAGGAGAGTAATAGTGGTGGAAGAGTAATCTGGAAATGGCAGTAGGGGTCAAGAGGTATGCCAAACACTATACTGCCTTGTGAGTGTAGGGGGAATGGAAGGAGGGGGAGATTCTGTTAAAGAAGGTTTCATGGAAAATGGTCATATCTGAGAAAAGCCAGTTTTCAGTTAAGGCAGAGAAATTTAGGAGTGCTTCTATAAACAGTGAAGGATATAGGAAGCAATTTGCTGACAACATAGAACAAGAGAGAGGTAGTGTAGCATAGTGGATGGAGAATTGACCTCAAAGCCATGAAAACCTGAGTTCACGTGTATAGCTGAGCATATCACTTAATCTGTCAGTGCCTTAGGCAGCTCTCTAAACAGAGGAGGTACCAATCTATATTAGTAGTTTCCTTATTCAGGAGTTCCCTGCATCAGTTAAATCACAGGTCCAGTCCCTATCCTTACAGAACACAAAAGTGAATGAATAAGTTATGTAAACTTTCATAGTGACATATTAAGCTTTTTACTTTTGTCTGAAGGTTTTTATTTTATGTATATTGGTTCACATTTTCTCAGTGACCTAGGCTTTCTGGGCTTCACCTTAGTATAAAAGGGAGTCTTTGTCTGTGGTGCATAGGAAGTCTGGTTAGAATTCAGTGAAGCAGTTACTGAAGCTGAATCTGACTCAGGAGTCCTAAGCAATTTACTCATGTAAATGTGATGTGCTATAGAATCAGGAACTGGTATAAACTGATGAACATGAATTTCAAAAGAGGAGGGTATTAGTAATGGAACAATTATCTTGAAGTAGAAGTTGAGAGCACAGAGTATACTGATCACTGTAGAGAACGCAGTGTGCTTCAGGGACTTGTATGTGAGAAACTGAGTAATTGAAGAACATTTAGGTTAATAACTGGGAAAGTCGGGATACCAGAACTTCTCTATGATTATGGAACAAATGTAATTTTCCTAATCTTAGAAGATACAGATTTGGTTATTAACTGTAAACAAAGGTGGGTTGTTTGCTGAGAGGACCTAGAATATGAACTCAGAAAAATAAGAGATGAAATGACAGATTTCAGAACTTTGTCAGCTAAATTCAAAATAATGGATATTATATTTTTTTCCTGATTAGTAAGTTCAGCTGGGTAGAGGATAGGT